CAAGTTATTCTGTTGCATTTACCTTGAGATGCAGACATTTATTCAGTTTTACATGGTGAATAAACTTGCATGTTTGTCACTACGTAAGAATTTCATTCTGAAGTACAGTTTTTCGTTCATTCGTAGTTTGGAAATCAACAAAATAAGGCAAATCGAATGAAGAAAGCGCGATGCACATGTATCCTATTCCATTTGTAGCAGTATGGACCTTCAACAGATAATCGTTTATAAAGAAATTTTAAATCTCACTTACACGCATGAAACTTTGAAGTGAAGGATGCGGATATTTTGAATAAGACATTATAAGCCGAGGCCCCGTGCCACGCGAGGCATTGTTACGATGAAGATCACTAACTGCTCGATCGCCCTCAGTGCCAAGCATAGGTTTAGATTTGAAGCCCTTCACCGATACGTGGTGACCTCTCTATGTGAGTGACCCACGGGACCTGGTCTGGGGGCCATAAAACTTAGACGAGCTCACTTTTGATCTCTGTCTCACTTTTCCACTGTTAATTCTTTTGGAAAAAGTGAGACTGAGATCAAAAGTGAGTATAAGGAGTAAGCATCCCCTGTTCAACAGAACCGCTGCATTAGACCTATATATTGATCATAAGACATAATTAATCCGGACAATTAGTTAAAAACAAAGGCCTATGCTCTGTTCCCGATTTGTATCGTTTAGATTGACTTGAGCTCGAATACAGCTCGTTATCTCCATATTACACAATACTGACCCGTTGAAATTCCAGAGGTGGGATAAGGTGTCTAGGAGGGGTAAGCAGTCCGCCGTGTACTTCTTATATTGATCAAGTAGAAGGAACATTCTTCAATTGGTAAGAAACATGTCAGTCAGAATACGACCCAGTCATAAGTTATATTTGCTGAATAAGGCATTATATCGAACATACTAGAATTTACGAGATGCTGACTTTAATCGAGGCCGATGAAAATCCTTCAAATTACTATCAACTTATGTGTGAGTAACCTGCCTCGGTTTATAAAAATAAATCATACTCAGAGCATGCTCTTGAGAAGCGAATAAGTTGGAAGACATAAACACCATAAGCAGATTAAAACTAAATGTTAGAATATAAGCTAACTGTAAAAGAAGTCATCTCGTTTGTCATACAATTTAGTTGTTAGTTGGCCTTTGTCGCCTATGGTCAGTTTAGTTGTTAGTTGGCCTTTGTCGCCTTTGGTCAGTAAAACATCCAAATGAGAAACAACTATGGCAGACTCTCTCGTTTAACGTTTTTTGACATCAAAGAGGCACGAATGATGAATATACAAACTTCATATTTTTATACAATAAAAACATTTTCACGCCTATGAAATTTTGTGACAAAAAGGCCTAAATAGTTTAAAAACATGCCATTCATGAGTAACTCGTATTTGATGAGTTTTGCGACATATTGCTCAAGAAAGTACGCGGCGTTAAAAAAGTAAGTGGAACAATGGCAGCATAGAAGTATTTTATTTTCTTTAGTGAACACAAATTTTTTAGTATTTCTAGCCAGAACTGATGATTAGTCGCTATGAGGAGGCTATGAGAATGAACGAATGCTCCAGGGCAGTAGGGAAGCCGGTAAAACCCAACGTAACATTGCAGAAAGTCTTCCTATTTCCCAAATCGTAATAAGCCGTTTGTGGAACCGTTATTTACAGGCAGGAAATTGTCCAAAAAAGGCTAAATTCGGGACTTCCAAGGTGTACGACAATCAATGAGGACCGTTATTTTGAAAATGTTGCAAAGAGGCGACGCTTCCAAAGTGCTGTTAAGCTTCAGAGAACAACAGGTTGCCAATTTTTTAAACAGAAATTCAAAACAGAATTCATGAAGCAAATCTTTAGGCTTGCCGACCAGCCGTACGTTCTGTATCAAAATGAGAGAATCGCAGAAATTGACTACAATTGGTAACAGACCACAGAAATTGGCAATAACGCCATTGGCGTTTTGTTCACATCTCCGAGTCGCGATTTTGATTTTGACTTCATATTGGCAGAAGACTTGTTTGAAGAGCCATATGATTTGGCCAGGCATAACTGTTGACTGGAAAACTGATCCGCACACTATTGAAGGCTACCTGACCGGTTTAAAAGTCCGGGATGATATTCTTCATCCTATTGTTAGACCTATTGCAGGTAGTGCGGTGGAGGAATTCATCCTAATAGTCGATAATGATGGACCTCATAGAATACGACTTGGAAAGTGAAACAATTCAGCGCATGGTCTGGCCAAGTCGTTCTCCAGTTCTGAACCCAATTGAACATGCATGGAACATTCTTTAGCAAAGCAATTCAGCTTGTCTAACACTTCCCGAAAATGGACAGGAGCTTAGGACAGCATTGTAGGAATGGCAACAGATCCCTCAGGCTAGCTTTGGACGGATGTTTGGCAGCATGGGTCGGCACCGAAGGGCCGTTATTGTTCTGGGGGATGTCATATAAAATACTGGCAATCATGACATGATATGACTCTTTTGAAAAAATCTTATTTTCAGATTTACACCCAACATGGAAATTTTAGAGTGATCGTAATTAACAATTCGTAGCCTGTGTTCAAACAAACTTATCACATCCAATGTTTAATTTGCAAACTTTAAATATAAAAAAAATTATAATAAAATTAAATCTGTATTCTGTTTTCTATGATAAAGTATTTGCATAACATATTTAGTTTGATGATCCTTTTTTTTTTGTCCGGTATGTAATTCTGAAAAAAAAAGATTTACCTTCAAACTAATAGCCCATCATTAAGCACAACATTCCGTAGACAACAATAAAACAGGAATAAAACGGTTTTTCATGTAAGCATTTTATAATTCTTGTATATAATCTGCTGGTCCTTGTTGTAAATTTGAAATCTGTGTCCTGGTTTCTTTTATTACGACAACCTTTGGGTTCACTTAAACTGATAGTTCCCTTTCCAAGAAAGAAATTCTTAAAAAATAAATATTTTATATATTCCAAACAACCAAAAGGAATTTGAATTTCCATATTCATACTGGATTCCAAAATTTCATAAAAATCCTTACAAACAAGGATACATAGCGGGTTCCAGTTCTATAAAGTTCAACTAAGCTTCTTTCTTTACTCCTCACTAAGATATTAACAGTAGAGAAGGAGAAACTTCAAGAGTACTGTGCCACAATATATTCGAGAAGTGTTGTAAATCAGATGCGGATACTTAAAAATTCCAAGGATCTTTTGGAAAATTTAAAACATCAGGATTTAACCAAAATCAACAGCTTTAAACTTTTCCACTTTATACACAACCATTCCTCACGATAAATTAAAGTCTGGAACATCCACATGGTGATAAAGACAAAAAATGGAACTCGTAAATTTACCTACCTTGTCGATAATCATTTGCAATTTTTTTGTTAAAAACATTCTTATTGTACACACAAATACTCTGAAGTTGACATTAAAAAGATGTTGAATTTCTGATTGATAATATCTATGTGGTTTTTTGGAGACCAGGTCTTCCAACAATCTATTGGAAATCAATGAGTAGGAATTGCTCCCCGTTATTAGCAAACCTATTTGTGTATTCTTTTGAAGCAGAATTTGTGCAAAATCTTATACGTGAAAAAAGAAAACACTTGCTTGGGCCTTCAACTCGAAGTTTAGATATAACAACGCCTTTTTTCCATTCCTATTTCGATACGATATATCCCGGAGAACTTGAGATAAAAGATAACACATAGTCCGACACATCTGTTTCGCATTTGATATTTTACTTGAAAAGACGTCAATGGTAATCTAAAAACCATGCTTTAGGATAAACGTGATAACTTTAAATTAGTTTAAAATTTCAATTGTCTATTTCCCTTATTAATGTAGCAATATAGTTTCATCACCTGCATACGGGGTTTATATATCTTAGCTGATTCGATACGCAAGAGCATGCTCTACGTATGTATAATTTCTAAAGCGAGATAATTTATTGACAAACAAGTTGCTGAAACTAGAATATCAGCAGTCTCGTTTAAAGCCATCATTTCGTAAGTTCTATGGTCGATACAAGGTCATTGTCAGCAAGGACAATTTATCATTGAGTCAAATGCTGACAGAATTTTTTCATATTGTTGCATCATTATTTACACATTGAATTGTCGACAGATTTTTCCGTTTTTTCCCGATTATGACAGGAAGCACGCGGCTGGTGTGACCGGTCAGCAGGGGATGCTCAATCCTTTATGGCACCACCTCTGATGTTTTGAAATTCCTTCTTGGCTCTCCTCCTACTTTGTACATGTATTGTTAAATGGACTTTTGAGCTTGAATACTAATGGCCAAAACAACTAGTATAGAAAACATATAAAGTATTTGACTTAATGGCAGACTGTATTTGGTGACAAAGGCATTGTACATATGTACTGACCATAGAACGTGCGAAATGTTGACTTTAATCGAGACTGTTGATATCCTTTTTTCAACGACTTGTTTTTTATTCTCGTTTTAGAAATTGTACCTACGTAGAGCAAACTATTGTGTATCGTATCCACTGCAATACACAAACTCGGACCATATGCAGGAGATAAAAATATAATGCTATATAAATAAGGGAAGTTGACGATAGAAAAGTCATCTCGTTTTTCATAAAGTTTGTTCATAGGCTACTATTTACATAATTCGTTTTGGAATAGAATATCCAAATATGGGAAAAAGCGTATGCCAAAGCAAGAACTTTCTTCTTCTCCGGTACATGTATGTTTCTAATGAAATTCTGCACCATATTACTACAAAAAAGTCTGCTGAAAATACTTCTGAAGTTTGTTTATTGCTTTATAAGAGATGAAGTATTCCATTTATGAAATACATCATCTGAAAATGCGACCTTCGTGAAAATTCCATATTTTACTACAATGGCAATGGTTTGCACCAAAAAAGTGGACGTACCCTTTTGGCCCTTAGTGTCGCAGTATGAGGAATTTGGGTTATTTAAGTGCAAAATAATATGGTGTGATCGTATATGTATATAAATAAATTGACATGAGTGACAATTCATTTCCAATATTGCATTCTACCGTCGCGCATCCATTCATAGAACCATGAGTCTGAAATACTATCCTTCAAAATTTCTCTTGGTACTTTGTACCATTCATGTTTTGAAATGTGGCGCTGTTTCCTCCGAGGAAGAGTTTGATACTTCTACTCCGTCCATGAAGGATGTCCCTCGATCAGCTTGGACTCTGGTTGACAAGTTAAAAGAAGCCGTGGAGAGGATTAACGGACCAGTAGATTCTGATATTTCATTTCACCCACTTGGTAAGTTTTTGAAAGACTTCTACGTAGCGTCAAACTCAATATTTTTATAGTCCTAGGACTAACTCCTGCTGTTTCTATTGAAGACTTCATTGATGGGGAATACCGATTTGATCTTAGCGGGGTCCTGTCTGATCCGTACGTAACAGGAATTGATCTAACCTGGGCCTCCTCCTCAGAGCAAGTTTGTCAAATGGTCTTGGCCGGGAAAACTGTCAGTAAGTATTGATACTGAGTATATGAGTTAAGTGTAAGCTCACTCAAAAAAAACATACCGGTCTATAGATATTAATGCTTCAATATATAAAGACAAAATGCACAAGCAGTCTTCAGTTTGATGCATGCAGAAAGGTACTCTCCATGTGTAGAATAATACGAAGAATAACACAAAGAGGGTACATTGTAGTACTTCCAAATAATATCTTTATTTTTAGCCATTTTGTTTCGAGTAAAAAGGTAGATTCTCTATAAGGCCATTTTCCGGCCTACGATAAAATCACTTTAAAATGTGATTTTATATAACTATAATCATTCTAGTTCATGATTTTGATGTTTGTTTTTCAACATCGATCATCTAAGTCACGTGATTTAGAAATAAAAAAAATGGCCGTCAGTTAAAGAAAAATAGAGGGTGGGTCTATTCAAATCAAGTTTCTTTGTATGTTTCTGAGTGTAAATGATCAAAAATTGTTTATTTATGTAGGAGATACATCAGACATAAGTAATGAATTGGAAGATATTATAAATTTAAGGTTCAAGATATTTTTTATAACAAGAATTCCGATGCATCCACATTTTGCATTATTTGAATGTAAATCTTCACGAAATTCACACTGTATGATGCTGAAAAAGTTTAATTAGCATTTTATTAAAAGTATTATATCATATATAATTATATTGTAATTGTATATCATTTCTATAGATGTGTTACTTATTTTAAGCATAAAATAACCATTTTAGAAATGAAGTTTCTAAGTTTCTATTGAACTATAAAAGTTATGCAAAAATGTTTAAAGCACTGAATGGATTTTGATTGGAATTAAATGAAAGTGGAGTAGTAATTAAGAAAAGAAATACAACAATTGCAAAAAAATAAGAATTAACAGCATAAAAACATAAATGCAAGTACATGTTGACTATCCATATACATGTAACTCAGAGCGGTTGCATTAAAATATACATCTCTAAGTGAAATGAAATATCGTCGTAAAATGGCTTTGCTTTTATTTAATTACTCGTGTTGCACGAAATATTTAATTACAAATGCCATCTAAATGTTATGTTCATGTATTTACATGTATAAAAGTTGAGACCCCCCCCCCCTTTCTAACGGCACAACATAAAAATGGAGTTGAATTTTAACAGTTCCTTCAACTATGCATATCAGAAGTTTTCGTATATACTAGTATAAGGACTTAAGAGTTCTACAACATCCCAGGTAGAAAATGGACCCTAAGGGTTTGATGCTCCTTTCGCACTCTTGAAACCTGTAGGTTAAATTCAGTCTCTTTCCCAGTGCAGCGTCAAAAACTTGTTTAACATGGATAGTGACAGTTCCCTACATAAGTCTTTAGCATTTAAAGTAAATGTCATGAGTCTTTAGGATATTATCTTTTAAAAAAAAAAAAAGGACCCGTCCCGCATTAGGCGTTGGTCAGTAATGCAACTTGACCTTAAGTGGATGATCTCTATATCTGGTTGAAAAATCCTTAAATGGGGTAAAGCAACATTCAATTATAAATCACATATTACATATAGGAATCCCTCTCCTCCTTACCAGTTTATTTCCTAAGACAGGACTACTGTTCTCGTAACTTATATCGATGCTATCAAAGAAGTGTGATGAATAGATTGAGTCCTCTCAATTAAGACCCAATGCAGTTAACAAAAATATGGATCTCATGTTACTCGTACGGAAGTGTCCATATAAAAATTATGTGTGTACCCATAGGAAAAGAAAGTCTATAACACAAATGGGAAATGCATTTTACCGCTTCAACAAAGATGACTTTTATCATTTCTAGAACATATGCAGTACTGATAAGGAAATACAAAGAATATTTGCAATACTCATAACTGTATTCAAAGAAGTAGCATATAAAGATAAACTAAACTGTCATTATAAATATAAAAGATAACTCATATTCACACCTTATAGCCTATAAAAAGATTTTATTTCTTAATTTTTATTAGGCATTTCAAAGAAACGTCTTCACTTGTAATTTCACGACATCCAGTCTTTTCAGTCCTTTGATTTTAGATTTTTTAGTAAAAATTTTACATTTATTTTTAGTAAATATGCATAGCTGATATAAATCTTAGTAAATCATCAGAAAATTGTACTCTAACCAAAAATTCATAAAAAGAAATAATCTACATAAGCTGGTATCCTTCATTGTGAGTAGTTAGCCTTTTCTGCAAATATCGTAAAAATGAATCGAAAAGTTTTTATTTGGATGTCATAACCACCTTTAACCAAATTCATAATTTGCTAGTCACTTTTTATGTTTATTAGAAATTTACATGCAAATTTTTATTGTTGGTTGAGGTGGTTATGACATGCGTAGGAGTTATCTAACACAGCCACCCTCTTGAGTTTTCCCATTACTCTAATGCTAATACGGACCGATAGTACCTTACTTTGTGACCCTAAATCATTAAAAATACTATTGTATCATTAACCAGCCAATATTTATCATTGAATTGGAACATACGCCTAGTGATTCATGCAATTTTTAAGGGGTAAAATACTGTCTGAAAATTTGAAGTCATTGTAGGCCGCAAAACGGCCTTATAGAGAATGATCCTTTATTGCTTGACATTGCTGTCGGAATGGGTACTTTGGAAGTTTCACAACTATACCATGATATGTTATTTTTTATTGCAGAATTACACGGTAAAGTCAGTTATGGATATGTTTTCTTTGACCTTGACAATCTTTTATCCAAAGAACATTCAACTAAATATACTAACGCTAAGGTTTTACCATCTCACATTTGCCATGTGGAAAAACCTCCTGAAAAATCATTTTTGGTGGTGTACAGGAATGAAACAAAAGAGAACCTGTTCCGAGAATTAGAAACTTTGAGATTATACAGCCCTAAAAGACATGATGAAAAAATAAGCCAGGACAATCAGTCAATCAGAAAAGCGAGGAGTACGAATAATCAAGTGCGCGAAAACAAGGCTAGTGAGGGTGGAACATCAGCAAAAACTGGACCCAACACCACATCAACACAATGTCGTCTCGTTCCATGGACAGTAGACTTCGTACAGTTACACTGGGATCGATATATCCTTTCTCCGAAGTTTTTTCAAGCTAATGCTTGTCAAGGAAGCTGTGAAAAGAACTGCACCCTTTCAAGCACCCTTTCAAATCTCGACACAAATTATTCTCTTTTGAGGATGTTATATGGGTTTCTGGATTGTCCGAAATGTAAACCCGCAAAATATGGTTCGCAAGCCATTATATTTCTGGGATATGGCTCTTTGATTGTCAGGAGTGTGGCGAAAATGCGAGTCCTGGAATGTAAATGTGATTGTTGAGTCATTGATTGACCAGAGTTCTCCTTTATATTTATGTGAGAAACTATGTAAATAATGATTATTTTGGGATGATTAAAATGATGATTTTTGCATACATGTCCAAATACTTAATACCATATATGAGACTCTGTGCTATGTCGATGTCGTCGATATCGACAATAACATGACGATATCGTATCGATATCGATCCTATTTGTAGAATTTATTTTCACAGTGAGGTAAAACATAATTTTACAAGGTCACAAGTGATGTCAAATTTATTCATTATTAGCATGAATATGAAATTAAATTATGATAAGGAAACGGTTAGTGGTTGTTATTGTTTTAGATTATGTTTAGAGTAAGATGTTGGGTGATGGTGAAAGTTGTTTAATATGTTTTGACAATCATGATTCGATATCGATACGATATCGTCGATATCGACGATATCGACAGTAGGGTAAACTAATTACATGTAATCAGAAAGTAAATATGCACAAGAGTTGCATGGAGAAACAGAACTTATTGTCATGGGATATGTTAAAAATAAAGATTTTGTATCAGGATGAATTTTGTAATATATTTTGATTATGGTTACGATAGAGTAATTCTGCACCCGCCTTGAATTCTGTGTAAGCATTACAATACAAAAAAGTGCTTGTTTATAAACATGCATCATTAAAAGTTCTTTACAGGGAAAGTTTTATAAATAAACTATCTATAATTTTTGATACTACATCAAATGAAAGGGGCAGCGAATATACACCATTTCAACCATTACCAATACATTGTCCCTTATTTTGAGATTGAAAACGTTGTAAAATGAATTTCAAAAACCAAATTAGGGATAAATGGACAGTAACCGTTGAGGGAGGGTATTTATTAATTTATATCATGACAGACCAGAGAGTATTTTTCTCAACACTCTTCGCAAAGGGAGGAAAAATCAGAGTTTTGTTGCATTTAGTTCTCCTGATATCCTCCCATCTGGTGACAGGGTAAGTGTTAAGGTGAAATTGTAATAAACTCATGTTTGCTTCTAATTGGAATTTTCAAGCATAGTTTTTTCTTATTGAAATTTTGAATTATTTTCTGTTTTATTAATTTTTATCAATAAAAATAAGACTACTTCTATGACATCTTAGCATTTATAAAGTATTGCATACCCTTTATCATTCATTATAATACAATTTTCACAAACTGTTTTAATTCTTTGAACTTGAATATTTCATTATTGATAAAGATGATCTTTACAACAGCCTGTATCACCAAACGTATGAATAAAAGATATTTTAAAATCATGATCTAGTATTGCATATGGAAACCATAATTCTTTAACAATCATGAATAACTTGTTAAAACAGAAAGCATTGTAATAAACACACAAAGATAGAGAAATATTATAGTAAACTATAAAAAAAAAAGTTATGTGTCGATATCGTAACTACATCGTGTCTTGGACATAACTCGATTTTTGTACATATTCTCTCACAACGAGAGGTTTGTTTTTAATATATTGGAGAACTTACCTTAACACTAATGTTTACTTTTTGAAAGATACAGTCTCAAAACTGCAACGGCATGTGTAATCAAATTGAGTATATTACGCGTTTACACGCCTGCTAATCGATCAGTTGCACAACCAGCAGTTGTGTATAACAATCAAAAGAGATCGATTTCTGGTTGTGCATTTGATGCAAATAATTCCAGTACACAGGTAGTAAATTGACCCGATTCAGGCAATAATTGATATTTTTATTAAAATATAAGAATGTGATTACATGAGCTATTTATTTTTCATTAATTTTACACTCTCTTAAAATGCAATGATTGTCGATTAGCGCCGATATTTGTTTTGAAGCAAGGGCTAGTAGAGCGAAAACGCTGATTGGAATTTTTTAGAATTTGAATATTCAATGTCCACCATTTATTTTTTTTTTTGTGTATTATTTGACTCGAAGATAACATTGCATATTTTCAGTTGTGAAAGAGATTTCAGGTTATGCATGAGATAAAGGATAAAAATTTACAAAAGTATTATACAATCTTTATTCACCTTTTATACTATATTACTTTTGATAATTATAACGTTTTAAATATTGGCTATAACGTTGCAGGGGCTGTACCAGCAATTTTTGAGGGGAGTATTTTTCGATGCCCCAATAATGCATATAGAATCACACAGCAGGCTCTCCAAACAAACCAAAAAAAAAAAAAAAAAACAAACAAACAAACAAATAAAACAAAAACACAACTGAACAAGCAACCTGTACATAGATATAGATGTAGCTATAATTCTCCAAAATCTTCCGCTGATTTTAAAGTGAAACCTTGCATATAATGTGTTGGTAGTCGCACCCAAGGCTGGGATTGTGAAGGTACTCAGATGAACGCAAAACGAGGAAACTATCTGTAGCGATCAGAAAGGACAGAGAATGAACAACATATACAGTGTATTTATTTTATTCAAAATATTAGACGTAAAATATCCATGTTACATAAAACTCTCTCTCTCCCTCTCTGCAAAAATCAGGGGGGGGGGTGTCCAATCCCCGAAACCAACCCCTTCTGGATCAGCCAGTGATGTTCAATCATTTTTGCAAGCACTTTTTTTTTACTTTTTCAGCAGCAGCGGCCGTTCTATTTGTGGTTGTGCTAGAAAGTGCACATGGAGAAATGAGACACTATTTTTTTCATTACTTCTGTAAACTAATTCTTAAATTTTATGATAACGTGTATAAAATCACGAGTAAAATATTTTAAAAACTTGTTTCAAACTGAAACGGGGGGGGGGGTTCCTGTCCACAAGTAACTGTGATGTGGCGTTGTCATCTTGATCCTTTCCAGCTCGACAACAGAATTCAGGATACCCAGCTTCAACACACCAATAAATACTTACCCCATGGCAAACACAATTCTTCGGGGGGTCAGTCTCTAGCTTTTTTACAATAGTGGGAAATATGGGATAATTTGTATAATGGGCGAAGCCCATTATGCATAATTTATCTCATGTTTCCCACTACTGTTGATGTCCCTGGCATACAATACTAAGTAGACAGCGATTCCTTATATTTCCATTTCAATGTGAAATAAAATTGCAGATTTAGACTTTAAAAATGCAGACATAAATTTAAATTACACGAGGATTCCCATCCCAATTTCAATAGTCCTTGCCCTCTGACGTCAAACACAACGGCAGCCGCACGAGATTTTCATGCATATTTGGCCTCGTTGCGTCAGACTCAGAGACAGATGCACACGAGATTTGCATGCATATTAGGCCTCCTTAGCTCCTGACCTATTGACCTGCCTAATTTACATTCCGGTAGAATTATCAAGAAATTAACTCCGCTTACTTTCAAAGAGTTATCACAGAGAGAAAAATTAGAAATGGAAATATGCAAATTTTAGTCGGCAAATTCTATTTTCAATCAAAGTTTTCGCTCTACCAGCCCTTGCTTCAAAACAAATATCGGCGCTAATCGACAATCATTGCATTTTATGAGAGTGTAAAATTAATGAAAAATAAATTGCTCATGGAATCACAATCTTATATTTTAATAAAAATATCAATTATTGCCTGAATCGGGTCAATTTACTACCTGTGTACTGGAATTATTTGCATCAAATGCACAACCGGAGATCGGTCTCTTTTGATTGTTATACACAACTGCTGATTGTGCAACTGATCGATTAGCAGGCGTGGTTTACGCATTATGCAATTGCAATATGCTTACACTCATCGTTTGTTATGAGACTACCTCTTTCATAAAATAATAATTCAGTGATAAATTCTTCCGTTTATAACATCTTTTTTTAATTTTCCCCCTTGGCCCTGCTTTTTTCGAATAATTCAGTGTCATATACTCTGACGTCATGGTTGAGCAATTTTACAGCACATTTTGTTTGGGAAAACATAGAGCATTCTGCACCCGCCTGTGAATTCTGTGTAAGCATTGAATCAAAAAAGTGCTTGTTTTTAAACATGCATCATTAAAAGTTCTTTACTATAAACTATCATAGTTTTTAACTACATCAAATAAGGGCCTGATTCAACCATTACCATACATTGTCCGTTATTTTGAGGTTGAAAACGTTGTAAAATGAATTTCAAAAACCTAATTAGGGAAAATGGACAGTAACCGTTCTAGTCTTTGTAAGGGTCATTTATTTAGAAATTCATTTTTGACCTGAGCCAGAAGGCTCGTGTGAGCTTTAAATTTCTCAAAATTTGGAATTTATAAAGAAAATTACATTAATTTTCGTTGAATTAAATATAGATTTTCATCTTCTTTGTGACATCACTTTATAATTATGATGTAAAGGGGATTCAAATTTGTTCAAATGAAGGGCCACGCCCTTTTCCTAGGGGAGTGACGTCAGAATATAGAATGTTTGATTTAGAGAAAAATTATTGCATTTTTAAAAAATCTTCTGTTTCAAAAACCACTGGGCCAGGAAAAAAATCAAATTGGAATTGTCAAGACAACTTTTGTTCAAGTCATGACCCCCGGGCAAGCTGTAGGGACGGGGCCAAAATGCCGATATAAAGTTTTACATAGGAATATATAGGAAAAATCTTTAAATCTTCTTCTCAAGAACCAATCTATCATGTAAAATCCTCAGGTAGTGTTTCAAGTTTGAAGATCAACTAGGGCGGGGCCAAAATCTGATCAAAGTTTTACATAGGAATATATAGGAAAAATCTTTAAAAAGCATGAACCACCGCCAGGAAAAATGATCTCGCTCAACTCTATTTGTGGACCTATCATCCTCAGGTGAGAAAAATTAAAGTTTTTGACAATGACCCCCGGGGGTAGGGCGGGGAAAAATAATTCAAAGTTTTACAAAGGAATATATGGAAAAATAAAAAATCTTCTTTCGAACCATTGAAACAGGAAAAATTAAACTCATTTGAAATTATCCTCAGGTAGTGTAGATTCAAGTTTGCTCAAGATGAAAAGTGTGGCCAAAATGTGCCCCAAAGTTTTACATAGAAATATATGTAAACCTTTTTAAAATGCATGCAAGTACTTCAAAGCCAGATTAGTAATATTTGTATGGAATCATCCTCAGGTAATGTAGATTCTAGTTTGTTCAAATTTTAATCC